CCTGACAGAAACAAAAGCAAAATTCCATGATTCCAAGTGTTGAGACTGCAATCCTATTTCCTGATAGCCAGACTGTTATTTATTATCAATAAATATCAAATTATTAATAAATTATTGGGATGAAGTTTTGGTTTTGAGCATTACTTATATCAAAGCCTAGCAAACAATAAGTTCTCAATAAATATTAAATAAATGATTTAATAAGAGTTTCAAGTTTCTTTGTGCCTCAGTTTACTCTATCAGAAAAACTGCTCTCTCATTTTACACTTGGCAATGTTACAAATTTAAAAGTTATCCCAACTTTTCTTAAATTCATTGGGAACAAGAAGCATCCTACACATTTTTATATATGTTTAAATTCCAAAATGCTTACAGTAGACACTTGTTCATAAAATGCATAAATATACAAAGACTAAAATAGGACTCAGCTTTGAAACAAGTTTACCTGTGTCTATGCTACACATTGGAGAAAGTGCCTTTAGTATTTCTTCCTCTTTGCCCTTCAACTCCAAACAACAGTAGTAGGATAAATCCTGCACAAAGGGGGAGACGCAATTAAATACTTAGGAATTGACATGGGGCTGTTAAGAAGACAAAACTGTTAAGAAGACAAAAGCCACATCAAAAAACCTGTAGATTCTGCTGTAGCATATGGCCTAAAAAAAAAAAAACAAAAAACCTGTAGAGGTCCAAGACACAGAAAAAATTGCTAACACTGTTTTCATATGTTAAAATCTAAAAAATGACAGGGAGGGGAGGAGTCTAAACCTGTCCATTCTTACCTATTTCATTAGCAAACATTCTTAAAACAATTTGAATCAAAATCAAAATGAATCTCCATTTAAATGTAAATTATATTGTCCTACATTTTACAAAGAAAATCTGTGTTTTATCCCATATTCTAATAGGCAAGTTCTACACAGGGTACATAACTGCTATTTCTCAGTAAAGGATCAATCATCTCCAAAATCTATATGAGATAAAGAAACCAGAGTAGAATAAGCCAGTAATAAATTCTGCAAAACTATGCTAAGGTTGCTTACTCTGGTTGGCTAATTCAGGACCCCAAGATTACTTAACACTGAGCCTAGAGATACAATGTTGCAATTAATTTATCCCATATTCCTCCCATGCTCAGTCTTGACCATGATGTGCAACTATGACTGAGCAAAGTACAAGGAAAAATAAGAGTAGTAACTTACAAATTTAGTTAAGATGGAGAAGGATCAGATGGAGAAGGATCAGACGGAGCTAATGAAATCAATGTTAAAAGTTCTTAATAGTTATAACAGCAGCTATAATAATAGTTATAACAGTTAATAGTCACTGAAGTACCATGTACTGGGTTAATTCCATTACATGGATTGTCATTTAGTCCTCCAAACAACCTGATGTACCAAGTATGGTTATCTTATCTGACAGATGAGGACACCAGGACACAGAGATTGTTACTTGAACAAAGCCATATAATCAGGAAGCCAGCATTCAAATCAGGCTCACTGACCCCCCCCAAACCAACCCCTCTGCATAGTACCTTTAAGCAATTTCAGTGCAGCAACTGGAACTAAAAGGCAAATTATAGCCATGATTCTGACAACTCACATTAATCAGTGTGATCACTCACACACAGACATCTTCCCATCAACATGACTCATGCCCAGCTGTCTGTGGCCAGATGAACCTCACCTGAATTTGTACAACCAGGTCACAGCAGAGAATAATGGTTAAAAGCATGGAACTCTGGAGTCAGGCTACCTAGGCTCAAATGTCAGCTTCACCAGTCACTGGCTGTTACCATCATTAGTAAAGCACCTAACCCCTCTGTACCTCAGTTTCCTCATCTGTTAAATGGAAGTAACAGTAACTACTTACCTCGTACTGTTGTTGCAAAGATTAAATCAGTAAACACATGTAAAGCACTTAAACCAGCACTGGGCATCTATAAGCACTTGAAACTATGTTATTTTTAGTTATTTTTATTACTTAGGGCTGTTCAAATGTTAAGAAGATAGCTGATAATTTCAGCAAAAATCCTGTCCCAAATGAGAAGTAATTCTTTGGCAGAGTATAGTGGAAAAAGGCCAGGGAATCAGCTGCCCAAGAGCTATCTTGGCCACCAACAAACTGAGTGACCCTGGGCAAGTCACTTTTTCTCTCTAGAACACAGCTTCTTCAATGTAAATAAGGGATTTAACTATAATCTATGATGCCTGCTGCTGAGGTCTCAAATCAAAGGCTCTTAAAAGGTTCTTATATTCACTTCTCATGCATTAAAATGGCCATTATAAAAAAAAATCAGAAAATAACAAGTATAGATGAGCATGTAGAGAAATTAAAACCCTTGCACATTGCTGGTGGGAATGTAAAATGGTGCAGCTACTACAGAAAACGGTAAGGGGGTACCTCAAAAAATTAAACACAGAATTACCATATGATCCAGCAATTCTACCTCTGAGTATATATCCAAAAGACCTAAAAGCAGGGACTTTAATGATATTTGTACACCATGTTCACAGCAGCATTATTCACAACAGCCAAAAGGTAGAGGTAACCCAAGTGTCCATCAACAGCTGTATGGATAAACAAGATGTGGTATATACCTATAATGAAATATTATTTAGCCTTAAAAGAGAAGAAAATTCTGACACATGCTACAACATGGATGAACTTTGAAGACATTATGATAAATGAAATAAGCCAGTCACAAAAGAACAAATATTATATGAGTCCATGTATATGGACTCATGTATATGATGTACCTATAGGAGTCAAGTTAAATGACAAAAAGTAGAATGGTGGTTGCTAGGACTGGGGAGAGGAAGGAATGGGGCATGAAGTGTTTATAGTTTCAGTTTGGGAACATGAAAAAGTTCTGGGCCAGGCGCGGTGGCTCACACCTGTAATCCTAGTACTCTGGGAGGCTGAGGTGGGTGGATCGCTCAAGGTCAGGAGTTCGAGACCAGCCTGAGCAAGAGCAAGACCCCATCTCCACTAAAAATAGAAAGAAATTAATTGGGCAACTAAAAATATATAGAAAAATTAGCCAGGCACATGGTGGCACATGCCTGTAGTCCTAGCTACTCGGTAGGCTGAGACAGGAGGATAGCTTGAGCCCAGGAGTTTGAGGTTGCTGTGAGCTAGACTGATGCCACGGCACTCTAGCCCAGCAACAGAGAGACTCTGTCTCAAAAAAAAAAAAAAAAGTTCTGGAAATGGATGGTGATGATGGTTGCACAACATTAATGTACCTAATGCCACAGAACTGTACACTTAAAAATGCTTAAATGGTAAATTTTATGTTATGTATATTTAATCACAATTTTTTAAAAAAGGTTCTTATATTGATTTTTCTGCTATATTGTTCTCAAGGGGTATCAGAGGACACCAATACCAATGGCTTTCAAAACTTGGCCAAGGCCATCCTGTCATTGAAAGATACACCTTTGGCTTCAAAGAACAAATTTTTTAAAATGTACTGGAAGAAAGAGAAAGCAACTGAATTGGCTACTGGGAAGAGGTGGCAATCAGGTAAATACTATTAAGGGGCTTTAAAACAAACTGTCCTCTCAAAGAATTTAAAATTTTAAACTTCCTTCTCACATCCCACTGAATCATAAGCACCCAGACCAGCATTTTGAACACCGCTCAGGGTACACAGTAGGTTCTGAAATATCTACTGATGATGAATGACAACTAGATTAATCCAAAGAAATCTTGAAAATTACCAAGACCTGCATGGTCTATTTCCTACTTATTTCTCCAGTCTAATCTCACCCTCATGTTAGCCTTGCTCTCAATTCTCATCATCTGTGTCACACAGAATTTATTTCAGTTCTTCACTCTCCTCTGGCTTCCTTCTGCCTTCCCTACTCTGCCATCTTATCCCTGAGAGCTCAGCTCACACATCACTTCCAGAGGGAGCCTTCCAGTTCCCCTGTTAGAAAGGCTCATCATACTGTGTGCTTTCCCTTACAGTCATATTTGGCTAATTATTTGATTAATGCCAGTCTCCCTCATGAATTATAGGCTGCTTCATCTCCAGCATCTAGCAAAAGGCCTCGTGCCTAGGAATCATTTCTAAAATGAATAACCTCATAAACAGTGCTTTGGCATACCAAGAACTATTCTCAAAGTCCATTCCAAAAATGGTCTAAACAAAAATAGAAAGCCCATTGGAAAAGCTCACCTGAAGGAGGCAACGGTTCGTCATGGCTCGATAGCAGGCTCTGTGGCTCTTCACTGTTGGCCTCTCCCCGAGGCAGTAGCCCCACTTCTTGACCATGTGAAACCGCTTTGCATGCCAGATGTGAGTTTCTAACCATTTGTTCTTCTTTTGTCTAAGGTTAAATTCTAGTGTCTTGTTTATGTGACATCTTCGAGCTTTATGGCATTTATTTTTTGAATGTTCTTTCTTCTGATGTACAGCTTTCTCCGCCTATAGTTTCAAGAAGAGAGGCAGATCCCAGTTAGTAAGAATCACAAAACAAAGTTAACTTAGCAATGCAAATAAATAACTTTAAGATTTAGGGTAGTACTTTATCAACCCCATCAGTTTGCTTAATTTTTTAACTTGGTGGTTGCTCCAATGTAAGCAAAGAAGGGAGACAATGGAAAGAGTTGAAGTTTTAGAGATAGGCAAACCTAGGAAGGAAGCACAGCTCTGTCACTCACCAAATGGACAAGTTTTGTTGACTATGAAGATTAAAATACTTATAAAATGCCCAACACAGTAACACAGGCTTAATGTAGCTATTAATATTAAACAGCAAGAGAGGATAAAACAAATACTAGATCTTGTTGATGTTTTAACCTGTAAGATTATAATTAAATGAAAAACTTAACACCAAAAACATAAAAATGGTGAAAACCTGCACTTTTATTTCAGTTAGGCTACAGTGAAATGCTAACTGCTGTTACTGGGAAACAGACCTTACATTAAATATATAAAGTATTAAACTCCTGGTTCGTTTTCACTCTTAATCTCTTCCATAACCAAGCTAAACTTTTGTGAAAAAAAATTACTCTCCATTAGTCTGTGAGCCACTTAAGGATAAGGACTTTACTTTGTTGAACTCTAACCCCACCATCAGCATTATCAGTATATAGAAGACTGCTCAATAGATTTTGAATCAATTAATAAAGACACGGGTGGCTTAAACAGCCTTACAATGTTCAAGTCCAGAATTTTGGTAAAGCCAAAACACAGTGAGACTTATACAACAATTATAACCAAGTCCAGGTTTTCAACTTTGAAAAAGTCAAAAGGCAAATGCTAAGCAATGATGCTTACCCAAGCTGGCCAAGCCCCCAAAACACAGATCCAAAACTACTTATCTGGTAAGAAGGTCAGAATTTTTTTTTAAATGTGGCAGGGGAATATCAACTATTCAACACCCTTAAAAAACAGGAGTTCCAGCTTTCGTTGCCAATAGTGTGCACGCAAACATGGTGAACGTTCCTAAAACCCGCCAGACTTTCTGTAAGAAATGTGGCAAGCACCAACCTCACAAAGTGACACAATACAAGAAGGGCAAGGATTCTCTGTATGCCCAGGGAAAGCGGCATCATGACAGGAAGCAGAGTGGCTACGGTGGACATACTAAGCTGATTTTCCAGAAAAAGGCTAAAACTACAAAGAAGACTGTGCTGAGGATTGAGTGTGTCGAGCCCAGCTGCAGATCTAAGAGAATGCTGGCTATTAAGAGATGCAAGCATTTTGAACTGGGAGAAGATAAGAAGAGAAAGGGCCAAGTGATCTAGTTCCAAGCATCTTTTGTTTTATTATGAAGATAATAAAATCTTGAGGATATGTTAATTACTTCATTTGGTTGGACTTTTGGGAGGGAATAAACTAGAGCCAAAATAAAATTTGGCTGGGTGGGTATTAAGGGTTGGATAATGATTAAAACAAAAATATGCAAAAAAAAAAAAAAGGCATGCCACAATAAGTATTTGAAATGCTATATTTCAAAGCAGCTGTAATGTCCAACTGCCTGCTAATTTGGCTGGGTGGGTATTAAGGGTTGGATAATGATTAAAACAAAAATATGCAAAAAAAAAAAAAAGGCATGCCACAATAAGTATGTTGTTTTCTGATTTCATTTTAATAAATTCTATTAGGTCAATACCTCATAATTCCTTCTAGCAAATATTAACCCAAACATTTACACTACATGAAACTGCTACCTCCTTCTGGGCGATCTCTTGTAACCGTCTAGGAAGGCGTTTGACATTGTGGCTCATGGCTCTCCGACGCATGTGCCGTGGCAGAGTCTGGAAAACCAGTGAATTAGAAGACTTCTGGGTTACAGCTTTTAACATAGCACTGATTTCTGCAGCTCGTGCTTGAGCAAAAGTAGAAGCTGTTGAAGGAAATGACAATGTCATTAAAAACACTTGAGCAAAAGCAGAAGCTATTGAAGGAAGTGACAATGTCATTAAAAACAAGTCTTGAATCAGAACTAGTTTTTCTGGTGGATTTCAGAAGGAAGACAGACATGAAGCACATGAGCTTACAATTCACCCACCACCCTAACCCCCTTTTAGATGAACACTGATAGTGGTTATTTCTGTTATACCACTTGGAGATTATTTTTCTTCAACTTTTGCATTTCTACAAGGATTTCTCAAATTTTCTATAAGGATTCAGATTCACTTTTCTCATCAGAAAAAAAGTGTAAAAACAACTTTTACAGAGATTTTAAAAACAGGGGTCTACATGCAGTACAGTACATGCAATATGTATACATGCAATATAATTACAATCATTTTTTAATATGTATTTTTTTTTAGTTTTCCAGCTAATTTCTTTCTATATTTTTATTAGAGAGGCGGTCTTGCTCTTGCTCAGGCTGGTCTTGAACTCCTGAGCTCAAACCGTCCTCCACCTTGGCCTTCCAGAGTGCTAGGATTACCGGCGTGAGCCACCACGCCCAGCCAAGAAAAAACAAAATTTTAACAGTAGTTTTGACTCCAAGAGGTTTTTTCTTTAATATTTTCTGCTTTTTCCAAATATGTGACCATTATTATTAGTTTTCTTTATTAAAAAATAGACTCTTTTTTTGAAGAGTAAACAGGGTGCTGGGGGAATTTAAGTGAATTCCTCCAAGAAGGCATAAAGAGAGACCATGGCCTGGCATGGTGGCTCATGCCTGTAATCCTACCACTCTGGGAGGCTAAGGTGGGTGGATCGCTTTATCTCAGGAGCTCGAGACCAGCCTGAGCAAGAGCGAGACCCCGTCTCTACTAAAAAAATAGAAAGAAATTAGCCAGACAACTAAAAATATATAGAAAAAAAATTAGCCGGGCATGGTAGTACATGCCTGTAGTCCCAGCTACTCGGGATGCTGAGGCAGGAGGATCACTCAAGACCAGGAGTTTGAGGTTGCTGTGAGGCTAATGCCATGGCACTCTAGCCAGGGCAACACAGTAAGACTCTGTCTCAAAATAAATAAAGAGAGAGCAGAAGGCACATCTGAGGTGTGTATGAGGAATATGGGGTTTTAATGTGGTAGTGGGGATGAGGATGTTGGGGGAAAACAGGAGATGAGGCTGGAAAGGACCTGGAGACAGGCCCTTTAAATAAAGGTCTTCGTTGCCATTTGCCATTCGAGTGTATTAAATTTGGCTCCACCTTTGGAGAATGCTATGCTGAGTGTAGACAGTACATTTAAAGGGGTGGAGGCAGGAGGTTAAGACAAGGTGGAACAGTTCACAAAGACTTGTAAGAAGATGGGTAAGAGAAAGTGAGACAAACTGAAGAAGGGAGAGCCATTAAGCCCAAGGAAGCTATTACCAAAGTCCAGGATAGAGGTGAGAAGGGCCCAAAGTAGAGGAGCAGAGGAGAGGGGTGGGGAGGCAGAGCCAAGACACTGAAGAGAGCAATTTGTTGGCATAGCTGGCTGTACTACAAACAAAGGGCTCATAATACAATCCAACTTCACTTCACTTCTTTACCAATACCTACCAGTTATATACTTGGGAATCTCCTGAGAAGTGCCCTCGGGACCTGCTTTCCATCCTCCTTTTTTTTTAAACGTGACTCTGGAGGAAGACTGCTCACTCACATGAGGTTCAGGCAGTGAATGGGCAATGATTTTGGTTTGCCGCTGTCGTGAAGTTCCAGGATGAGGCTCTAGTATATTTTCAAAAGGAAAACAAAAAGAAATATGTCATTCTTATCAGAGATAAAAATTACAGTGGAAAACTAACATTTGTTGGATGGCAACACTGGTCATGCTTTTAGTCCCACAACCACCATATAAGGTAACTATCACTATCTCTTTTTAAAGAGGGATCTCAGATAGGGAAGTAAATTAACTTGCTCAAGGTCATAAAGCTAGTAGGTAGCATGCTAAGTAATCATTTCAGCAAGACATATAAAAAACCTTGAATATAACAGATACAGGTGAAATTTTCTCCATATAAATATTGTAACATGAATTTTAAATCTAAGCTCCCTGCTATGGTCTGAATGTTTGTTCCCCCACCCCCCAATTCCTATGTTTAAAACTTAACCCCTGAGGTGATGATAGGAGGTGGGCCTTTGGGAGATGATTAAGTCATGAGGGCAGAGTCCTTATGCATGGGATTAGTGTCCTTATTTAAGAGGCCCCAGAGAGACCCTTGCTCCTTCCACCATGTGAAGGCACAGCGGGGTGCTGTTTATGCACCAGAAGGTGAGCCCTCCTGAAACACCAAACCTGCTGGCTCCTTGATCTTGGACTTTTCAGACTCCAGAACTGTGAGAAATAAATTTCTGTTGTTTATAAGCTACCCAGTTTATGCTACCCACCTTATCTGAAATGCTTGGGATCAGAAGTGTTTCAGATTCCAGATTTTTCTGAATTTTGGAATATTTGCATATGCGTAATGACATATCTTAGAGATGGGACCCAAAACTAAACACGAAATTCAACTGTGTTTCATAGATATATACCATATACACATAGCCTGAAGGTAATTTTATAAAATCTTTTAAATAATTTTGTACATGAAAACAAAGTTAGTGTACATTGAACCAATAGAAAGCAAAGGTGTCACTATCTCAGCCACCTATGTAGATAATCTGTGTTTGTTTGGCATTGCCAACATTCTTGGCTCTGAATTTATATGCTACTGATCGGCAATCATTTTCTTACACTTATTCACAGATAAGTACTTAGTAAAAAAATACTCACCATTGAGGCCTCCAGCCTGCACACATGCCATTTTATTACCCTTCATGGGCATGCTTACAAGATATATCACAGCTTAAAGGGTCTGGAAGGGCCTTTTTTCCCTTGGGAATGCTCAATAAACTATGTATTGTGCAATTTTGTTTTGACTGTGACCTAGCACATGAAGTCAGGTGTGGAATTTTCCATTTATAGCGTCATGTTGGCACTCAAAAAGTTTCAGATTTTAGATTTTTGGATTAAGGATGGATGCCCAACCTGTATTTTGTTATAGCATCCCAAATGACACTCCCTTAAATACTACAATCCACATGATTTTGTATATTCAGTCTAATTCTCTATGTCTTCAAATTGAGAGCCACTATGGTAAATTAAACAAGGAAGTAAAAGTAGTCTCTATACAAGAGTCTGGGCATTCAAACCATTCTGACTTTAAGACAACATCAAATATCTGACTGTCAACAAAGGAAGAAATCAGCAGAGAATTCTATAGTGTTCCTGCTTATTTCCACTGAGGTGCTAATTAATAAGCCACTATAATCTTGGAACATGTTACAAGCTTTGTCCTTGTGAGGCTTAAAAGAGATAATATATGTAAAAGGTTATCACATGGTATAGGCATCAATTGTTGGATATAAATCTACAGCCTATAAATTTGACTCTAAATTTACTTAATCAGACCCAATGCACACAGTTCTTTAAAGCATTTCAAAAAAGTTCTTGGCCACCTGCAATTGCAGTCTGCCCAAACTGGAGTTTTCTACTGCTGCCCCAGTGAACAACTGTCACCTTCTTATCACCTCATAAACTGCTAAAATCAGCCCACAAGTTAAATGTTGATATGATGACTATACTATATTTCTCTTAGGAAATGCAGAGGTGTAATTTAATAAAAATTGATGTTAAGGTAGAAATAAAATATATTGGCTCTAAAATATGCATAGTCACAATTTTCATAACTTATAGTAGTTATGTTGTATAAAATAATAGTGAGCAATGAATTAGTGAACACTGAACCACTCTTCCTAAGAGATACATATATCACATAGATTATAATCTTTAATCCTGAAAACAACTCATCCTGGTAGATTCTATTTCCTCTATTTACAAGAGAGAAAATGAAGTTCAGGCTAGAAAATGAAGTTCTTGGCTTACACCTGTAATCCTAGCACTCTGGGAGGCAGATGCGGGAGGATCGTTTGAGCTCAGGAGTTTGAAACCAGCCTGACCGAGACACCGTCTCTACTAAAAATAGAAAGAAATTAATTGGCCAACTAAAAATATATAGAAAAAATTAGTTGGGCATGCCTATAGTCCCAGCTATTTGGGAGGCTGAGGCAGAAGGATCACTTGAGCCCAGGAGTTTAAGGTTGCTATGAGCTAGGCTGATGCCACGGCACTGTAGCCTGGGCAACACGGTGAGACTTTGTCTCAAATTTAAAAAAATGAAGTTCAGGAGTGTTCAGTGACTTGCATGAGACCACCCCACAGTTGAGATTCAAACCCCAGGAGGGGTGGAGCTTCCTGCATTGCACCATACTGTACTGCTCCTCTACTGCCTCCACCCTCTGGCTACGTCGGCTGGAGGGCTAAAACGGAATCAGCTGGGAACCTCAGCTAGGAATGTCTACACAAGGCAACCCAAATTCTTCTTGCTCTGTGCATGTCCACAAATAACTGCTAAAT